ATGTAGAGAATAACACACTGAACATCTGAACGTCGAAAATAGTACAAAAAATTCATAATGATGAGCACAGTGAAACTAATGCGTGTGAACCAGATTAATGCTAATGCTGACAGCCCTGATACAAAATATATATATAATATAATAAAATAAGGAAAAAATTCCAAGTTTAACCGCTCTATTATTTATGTTAGTACACAGAATTTTAATGTCAATATTATAGAAAATAACATGTAAATTATGAAAAGATAATCAATAATAATCTACAAGTTACGACATGTAAGTTATGAAAAATAATTTACAAATGACGAAAAATAACCTTCAGATTATGAAAAAATAACTTGTAGATTATTAGTGACATTAAATAAATTTATAACAATAGTAAAAATAAAATTATATTATTTTAATAATGGTATTTTTGGTTCCCTCTCTAAAATAAAATAAGGTGACATCTTGTATATATTGGGCCCTAAATGGGCCATACGGATGAGGGTGTACTTTGGTTGTAATTTTACTACTAACTATCTATCACCATTATACCATATGCTGCATAGGGTATCATGCTATGCCTGGAAACCTACCTTGTCTTTTAAGGAAAAGAATTGATTTCAAATATACTTTCACCTTCATGACACGTATGCATGAAATTAGTAAACAAGTATATTTATGCAGATCAAAGTCATGTGATATCAGATCAGTACGTACGTTAAGTTGTTGAAAGCAATGCACAACAAGCAAATGAGTGAATTATTTAAAGAAAAAAACTGGAGAGAAATTAAAGACAAAAAAAAGAAAAGAAAAGTGAATTATGATCAACTGACGAAATTAGGTAGACGTTATGATCGAGCAAAGATGTGATGGAGTTGAGCTAGCTAGCTTTTTCCTTTATGCCATACCTATGGGTAATTAATATATATATATATATATATTCTCTTTACTTTCACTCAAACATGCATTATGGCAGTCTTCTTCACCATTCTATTTGTCTCCCTCTCCCTTTCTAACAATTTCAGATCGACCTCACGTGTGGGGACCTGAGCATAATACTTTCCACGTTTGCCCTTCGTTGGTAGTTTATTTGCAATTAATTATAGTGTGTAGTAGTCATACTTCGGTTCTATTTCCTGGTAAAAATTAAGAATATATGACACATGGTTATCTTGATTAAGATAATAGGGAAGGCAACACCCTCTAATTTTGATTTTAAATATACGAATTCGAGATATGATCATGATGTTGTATACATAAGATTAGTGATTGTTTCAACAGCTCAAATATTAAACGCAGTGCTTTGGCCTAATTAAGTTGTTCTCCATTTCACCTTAATTATAAGGGAAACCAATTACGTATTAATTATAGTTTGCTTATTGTCATATATGTTTTGTGCTATATTTAGACAAGCGAATCAAGTTGCTGACACTACAACAAAAAGCATTTTAGAAGGCGGGATGTGCTAAGTTTTAACATTGGTTATCTGAAAAACCGATCTTAAAAATAAGCAAAGACATGGAAATCTTACGCAAAAGAGCGAAGTCATCGGAATAACTCCTGACTGTGCATCTTCAAAGCAGCTGAGTGGTGGTGGTTAACTCCTGATTTTTGCCTTTCTTTGGCTTCTAGAGACAATATTGCTCGCTGTCTTCCTAGTTACAGATTTACGTAATGTTGCTGAGGTTGAATAATATATATATATATATATATATATATATTTCCTTGCTTGGTGTTTCCATTGGGTTTTACTTGAATGGTTTTAATGAGGCTCAATGTGAAGGGCTTTGCATGGGGATAGTTTTGTATTGCCCAGCCTTTCTAGCTAGTTGATCTCCCGTGAGCTATAGTTATGGATTTTTTTCCCCCTTATCGAATTTTTTATTTTTATTTTTTTTATTGTTGTATGCGGGAAGTATCCATCATTTTATATGTGTATTAATTTTCTTTTCTTTTTTTTTTTAAATAAAATTTGAGTAGAGGGTTTGATATATTGTAATAAGTTGGTTAGTGGTTGCCAATCTTGTTAGGATGTGCTCGTCTACTCTAATATCAGTTATACTCTCTCTTTATTTACTCAAACAAATTATATGTTTTTGATATCATTTACTCCCTTTATCTCACTCTCTCGCACACATATGTTATATGTTTATATCTTTTTCTTTGACGTATATATAGCATTGCATGCTACCTTAATTACAGAACCACTTTTGTTTTTTTTAAAAAAATAAAATAAAAATAAAAAAGGTTATCATGGCATTTTAAATGTTAAATATCTAAGGCCAATAAGTTTTTAAAAAAAAAAAAAAAAAAAGGTTATCATGGCATTTTAAATGTTAAATATCTAAGGCCAATAAGAAGTTTTAGTTTGTAATGAGATAGAAAGAGAGAGGGTTGGGAACTACATGAGTGTCCTGACTGGGAGTAGTGCTAAATATGGAAAAGAGTTAGGGGTCTCTCAGTTCTCCATAATACTAAGTAGATGAGTCCAAAACATTTCATTCCTGAAAAGGAAATGCCATCATGCCTTTTGGTTGTCGGGAACATGCAAAGCATCAGGTTTTGGGAATGCAATATCCAATGACGCACTAAATTATATCATTGACATGGAAACCCCTTCCCCATAGTCAACACTATGTCTAACCAAACAAATGAAATTTCAATAGAGATATCCAACATTTATTCCCCAACATAATTACTAATTACTTACTTGCCTTTTGCTTTTTTTATTTTTGTTTTTCTGCTGACTAACTATCAAGTGAATGGTATTTTGTACGTGCCAATGCAAGATAGTACGTTCTCTGCAAGTTCTTGATCATGTCTTTCTATGATTCAAGAATTTATTTATTTTTTTAATGTTTTCAAGGCGGGGAAATTCCTTGTTCTGTCCCTGATCTCTTCGCAGTGCAATTATTATTGCATATAGCTTCATAAATGAAACCTAAATATCTGTTTTTGCAATCAACTCCCAAGGTACAATGGTTCATGCATTTCATGTCGTTTTGAAAGAAAAAAAAACTTGTAATTAACCAGTTTGAGTTAGTTTACTAATTAGTACTATATTGATTTCCTTTTTTTTATTTTTTTTTATTTTGAGAAAAGTTATGTGTGGCTATAGAATTATTGAATAGGAAATGAAAAACGTAATGCATTTTGTACAGAAATATGGTTTCAAAGATATATATATATATATATATATATATATTAATGTACTGAGATCATACAAGGGTCAGACTAATGCATGCATTTCGGAGAAATAAATGAAATGGTTATGAAATTGTAGTTTGGAATATCATTCGGCAAAAGAGTCTCAAATATTTGCAGTATTATGTTGCAAATAATATTCTTTCCAACGCCAAATGATAATATTTACCTTCCCAATACTAATTGTAACTCACGCAGTTCAAGTCATTCACGGTGAAGTTTTTGTGGTAATGCAATTGCTTAGGTAAGTTGAAAATGACAAGAAGATTGGTACTGAGAGTAAACTAATATATATATATATATATATATATATATGAACGTGTGTATATATATATATTGTCTGTGTATGTGTGTGTAATATATTATTACCAAAATACGTCACATGAAATATTTTTGGTTATGTGTTTTTTATATAGCTTCAGTCTATAATATAAATAAAAAAAAGTTGCTTCAAATTCTACTTAAATTGCTTAATTGCATAATAATAAAAAGGTGTAACATTCATTATTGATGTGACATAGTATGTATTCTATATATATATATATATTCATGTGTATATATATATATATACATGATGTATACATCTAAGGCTATGAAGAAGATATAATATTTAAACATTTATCAACCTACTACTCCCTATGGGAAGGATATGATATTTTGGGGGATCAAAATGGGTTTTCGCTATACCAATGTTTCTATACGTATTTTTATTTTTGGCTGGGGACAGAAAATAATTAAGTAGATACTAGAGTAGTTTATTCTTTGCAGATTAATTTATTATTATTATTAGTATTATTATTATTATTATTATTATTTTGGTGATGATTGTTGGTCGTACTAGTAGTAATCTTGCGGATAGCTTCCAACTGATCCTTATAAGTACTTTGACTAGTAGAATAGCTTGCAACAAACATCATGTTATTTATTTCAATTCTTGTCATCTTATTCTTCCTGTGCTATGTCATTTTCCACACACACACACAGATATATATATATATATATATATATATATATATATCCTCTCAAGGCAGTAAACAAACATGAAGATACCCGTCTTTTATTTAGTGAAAACACAAGTACATAAATACTTTCACTAAACAAGACCAATTTAAGTAGAAAAATCTGAAAAATGATCCTAGAAACCTTTCATATATAGAAATGGGGGTTTTACTTTTGCATCAACAATAAACCAAATGTTTATGTTGCTATGTTACAGTTAACCTAACAAGAGCAAACACAGCCAACAACAATTACGACTATATTACACTACAACAAATATGAAATATATAGAGCTATTGTCGGATCATCATGATTCGTAGAGGTCTCTCTACCTCAAAAAAAAAAAAAAAAAAAAAAAAAAAGGGAAAAAAGAGGAAATTACAGTCTGCCAAATTATCTCATATGATGATCTGAGTCACAAAAATGAAAAACGACTCCAAATATATACATATATATATATATATATGTTATTAAAATCATCAATATTGCAACGCGAGAGATACCAAACATTAATAGATGGAAAATTTCAACAGTTCTTCTCTTGAAATGACAAAATGGATATAGCTAGCCACATCATATAGAAGTAAAATTAATAATAATAATATTATATATATATATATATATGTTTACATAAAGCACTGAGAAATGAAATAGCTAGGTACGTAGTTCATTAATTTGGGAATATTATAACTTACATAATTTCATAGATTGAAGCATATATCTCCGGTCTCTTATGCCTCTCTAAATTGAACTCAATCTACTAAAATTGATCCCTCTTTTCTCTTCTAGCAAATTTAGTAAAAACGTTTTAGTTAATTAGAGTATCCTAATCGAAGTTCCAAATCCAAGTCTCGAGCCATCTTAGAATCAGCACCAAGAAGACCGATCTCCAAGTCCAATCTAACAGCAGTTGTCTGATCTGCTTTGTTTAAACTCTTGCAGTACTGCGTAATATTTTTTCCTGCGAAACCATCGTGTTCTTCGACCCCACAAACAGACTGTTTGTTCTTCGTACTTTTTGCTAAGTCTGAGCCGTTGATGTAGGTCAATGGATCGAGTTGATTGGTACTACGGTACTCCACATGATGACCGGTCCATGGCCATTTCTTGCTTTCATTGTTAGGGCAATTATAAGCAGAATATGGAGAAGATGTTAAGGAAGAAAGAGGTGGTGAAGTCAGAGAGGATAATGGGGCAGGAATCAAAGAGTGGCAAGTTGAGAAACTAGGATTCATGTTAAGGTTAAGAAAAGTAGTACCACTACCGTACCGGCCGCCGCCATGGTCTGATCTTGGAGGGGACTGCCTGAGCCTGGCTCGGTCTTTGCGGTGAACGTTCATGTGGCCGCCGAGAGCTTGAGCCGATCTGAATTCTCTTTTGCAAAAGCTGCAAGTGTAGGATCTTGGAGGCCATGAAAATCCATTCATCATGTAGTCTTCTTCATAGCTCTGGTTGTTGTTGTAGACATGACTCCATGAGTACTGATCTTTAGGAATATTAATATTGTTGATATTATTCCTCTGATGACGATCTTTCAAGCTCAAACTGCTGTTCCTCTCCATGGATATTTCTTTTTTGATTCAATCAATCAAACCTATAGGAAAGAAAAATGATCAAGTGAACAATATATAATGGTCTAGCACAAATTGAAGACGATTAATAAAGAGCCAAAAAAAAAAAAAAAAAAAAAAAAAAAAAAAAAAAAAAAAAAAAAAAAAAACTATGGAGTTGACTGACCTGAGGAAAAAATGGTGTTGGTGATAAGAATGATGGGGTTTAGAGAGAGGGAGAGAGTGATTAAAGTTGGAGTAATTAAATAAGGCCATGAAAATTTGTAAACAAGTGTTTGAAAATCCCATTGAAGGGGCGACCTCTAAAATGTCTCGGATGCTTGGTCATCACTTACTATAAATAGAACCTGGGCCTGGGCCAGGGTCATACCTATAACTTGTTCTGAATCTAGCAAAGATCTAGCGGATGTTCTTTTACTTCACTTTATAATATATTGTTCTCTTATAATTATATTATATATATGTATAATAATGAGCAATATACTAGTCATCGTGAGAAATGGAGGGACTAATTAAATGGCTCAGTGAGATATTAATTGAGCACGCAGGGTCAAGTGGTATTGGTCACACTTCAACTTTATTCTTAAGAGTTTAGTTTTCAGCTATTCTTGAACTGACATGTGGCATATGATAATTAACCTGATATATTCTCTACTATCAATATCATCATATCATTTTAATTTTTAAATTCAAAAACTAAGTTTTTTTTTTTTTTTTTGTTTTTATTATTTTATATTGTAAATGCAACTACACACATACATATATAAGTACTATATTGTGTCAATAATGTCCCTTAAAACCTTGTAGGTAAGCAACCTAATTACTAACCAGTACTCTGATGATAGCTAGCTCATTCATACAAAGGCCAAGTCAGCAGGGAACAGAAAGTACCGGTAAAACCGTAAATGCCTTTGCCACAAAAATTCATATTATTATATACAACTAATCACAGTCAAAAATCCAAATTAATACGCATCAATTATTTTTTCTTGGGTATAAAAAATTCTCAGTTACTCATTTGTCTTTACTAAAGCCATATGTACGTACTAGCTGCATACTTTTATTTAAAGTTAAACTCATAATCTTTTAGACCCCGAACAAAAGATCAAATTAATATCATTTTGGTCAAGGATTTGTAAAACGTTCTAGAACGAGTCTCTAATTTACCAAATTGTCTTAAATTTTCACTCATCTGAATCTTAAAATCTCAACAGAAAAGAGCACATCTTCCTTCTTAGCAATCATTCCCTAGATCGCACATGCTCCAAATGTACTTTTCTTTTAATTTAAAAAAAAAAAAAAAAAAAAACAGATTTTAACAATTGGATAGATAGAAGGACTAATTTTGAACAATTTTATAGACCGGAGACTTATTTGTGATGTTTTAAAAATTATGGACTGAAATGAATGAGATCGATTTGAGCTATAGTTTGGAGACTTAAAATGATATTAACCCTATTATTTATTCCCATGACCATAAGGGAAAAATAGAAAAGAAAAAGAAAGGCAAGAAGAAATATATATAATATTAAAGATAATCCGTTGGCTCACGCACTGAGATACTGTCACTTCATACAGTCTCTCTCTTTCTATTTCATTAACTCATCTGACTTTTCAAGAAAAAACCAATAAGATTTTTTATAAAAAGAAAAAAGAACTGCACATATTCAACTAATTCCCAATGACTCATGTTTCACACCCTACTTCTTTTGGTTATAAACTTAGGTCGTTCAAAGCTAAACCTCAACTTCTTTTGGTTAGCCATTGATTATTTATGGCACAAGAATAATATTCTACAGTAGCGCTTCTAAAAATCTAAGAAAGTATATATATGTCTCGTTCATTTCACCGATTCGAGTTTTCAATTTTAGGTTTTTATAGTTAAAAATTATCAGAAAATGTTATATCTAATTGGTTTTGCTAGAATTAAAAGCTCTTAGAAAATATCACAATTCAATAAATTAAAAACTCGAATCTACGAAGCGAATGAGACAAAAATGTATGGATCTAGTTACTACTCAGTACTAGCTGATTTGCTTTTCAGTTTTGGTTCCATATAACTTTAAGCTATATACATATATATATATATATATGTATATATATGTGTATATATATTCTTGAAAGAAAGAAGTTGATTTCATTGATGTGAAGAAAAGGGTATCATATTCATCGATTTACACACCCTCAGAAAGGAAAGCACATCCTAGCTAGATGTTCATTTTTCCAATTTGTGGCAAAAAAGGAGTGAAAGTTTCATCAGAAGAAGCAATACACAAAAGATCCTATCCCCAGATAGAGCTGTTTCGGCTGAGATTTGGTGAGAGACTAAAGGCCGATGAGGCCCGGCCCATTTGCATGCCAAATTTGGGATGTGGTTTTATTAGGTTATACCACCAAAAATGCAGGGTTTACCCGCAGTGCAACATGGTGCCGTATCTTCTACTTGGTTTATTTGAAGATAGCATTATGTATGTATGTATATATCTATATATCTATACCTAGCTAGCTTGTCAATAGTCTCAGCTTTAATTGTTCATCTTTAGATAATAATAATTACTTTTGTTACGTTTGATAGAAAGACAGAGGCAAGAAGAGGTAATGTTGTTTGCTTAATGCAATTGTTAATTAGTTATAAATATTTTATAATTAGTGAGGATAATAAAAACAGAAAGTTCCAAGAGGATTCTCATAGTTATATGTAATATATATATATATATATATATATATACTTCTTCTCTTTTAAAAAAAAAAAAAACTAAACGGAACTAATTCCACACTTTATTTTATTAAAATAAAACTAACAAAAAAAATCATGAAGTTCAAAGTCCAGCAATAAGGACTAACCAAACAACAGGAAAATACAATAACGTGTAGGAAAGATAAAAATTAAACACACCGGTTTCATTTATACAACATAAAATCTTTTTTTTTTTTCCTGATGCGAAATATAAACAGATGAGATCATTAGTAAGCCATTTTTTTTTTTAATAATTTTTTGGTATATATTTCTAAGCCTTATTTAATAATGAAGATTTGAACTATATGTGTGTGTGTGTGTGTATGTATATAAAGTAGGGTATCCTTGCTCAAAATTAGAAAGAGATTGCGATAACTTTTCTGTCTCGGTACTCCATTTTTGAAGTATTATATATTGCATCTTATCTTGGGTATATGTCTTCAGTACTGGCATAAGTTTCTCTCTCATTCTCTTACACACACGCGCTAAATGGAACCTAAATTCATGGAGGACATTTACTTGGGAAAACTGTCACAGATGGGGACTCATTTGTTAGGTTTCATTTGTTAGTAAATGCATGTCAGACGTATCATGACCTCTTTCTTTTTGTTTCGGGAATTTAATAATATTTTCTATTATTAATGCAGAAGCTCTCTTTGATCCATGGCTCTGGGGCTGGGACAGGATGGTTCCTTTGTTGGATCTTGTGGTCTCTGTAATGGCTAATAATAAATCCAAGTCCATTGATATCTCCTTGTGGTTCTAAAACTAATACTCTCTCTTGACCCAAAATGGAGTCTTAGGTATACTCTACAAAAACTTAGAACACAAATAGTCTTCATTTTTTTTTAAAAGTAAAATAGTCTTCATTTAGAATGGATCATAGGTTTAATGAACATAAAAATTTGAATAGAAATTTCAATTTTTATGAGAAAAAAAGAAACATGTTCCATGACTTTTGTTTTGAGACTGATAAAACAGAATTATTAGACTACACGACACTTATTAGAAGTGCATCTTATGTATCTGTATTACATTCGTTCAAATTAAAGAATTAAATTATATCTCTCACTAGTCTCTTTCGGAGTAAAGTAGTGGTTTATTATTTTTCTCTCCTTGAATAAAAAGGATATTAATTTAGAATAAGGTATAAAAAAACTAAACTTGTGAAATTTAAAGGATATTAATTTGTCTCATTTCTCCATGATTTTTTGGGATATTTTTTTTTTATTTGGGCTTTATTGAAGGGTTTTTACTCTTGTCTAAAGAGTATTTATCTCATTTTCTCTTTTCGGCTATGGGGTTCTTGTTTATAGGAATCGTCATTTTTTTGTTTGTTTTTGTTTTTAGTTTTTTTTTTTTCATTGGGTTTACTAGCAATGTTTTTAATAAAATCTATAACAGAGACAAGTTTTCAAAGACGTATTTCAACTATATGTTTTGCCGACAGTTCATCTCTGTCTTTGCTTCTTTTTTTCCCCCCTTATGATAGAGTTAAGTCTTAATAATTAAGAGAAAAAAAAAACAAGAATTATACTACTAAAGATGCTAAAAAATATTATTTGTGCCATTCCATTAGAAAAATAAACAATTGCCATTCAATTATTAAGAGAAAATCAAAGGCTAGAATGACACTTTATTATATGTAATAGTATAAATGATAGTTACTTGCACAAAACAGCTATGACAAATCATCCACTTGTCTTAAAAAAAAATTCAATGACTTTTGTTTTAAGATAAAAGATAATGTTGGACTACACTTCACTTATTAGAAGAAATCAAGAAAAAATAGAGAATTTACTCTTAAGAGGTGCATAAGTCTGGACTTTTACCTATTACTCTTGATAAATATCTTTTTATTAGTGTAATTATTTAACTAAAAAGGTTATGAATCACGAGTAAATGATAAAAATCCTGATCCATGCACTTTCAAAAAGTATTTGTCAAGATTACCCGAGAAAAAAAAGACTAGCCCATCCTAGTTAACGTTGGTATTATATTGGTCCAAATTAAAGAATTAAATTAAATCTCACTAGTTTTTATTGGGGTAAACTAGGGTTCCTGCTTCTGTGAGATGATCTTTCGGAGTTTTCTTTTTCTTTTTTTTTTAGTTGGCCTTCATTGCCTGGTTTTAGTTTTCCTTTTTAGAAAATTGCTGAAGTTACATAATTTAGAATGCATGGGTCAGATTTTTTACCCATTACTCTTAATTAATACAAATTTGACTAATACAGTTATTTAACTAAAAATTAATCCTCAGGTCAATATTTATGGGACGTCAAACATTGAAAGAGTACTATTTTTAAAAGGAATATTTGTCTCTTTTTCCCTTTTCTTTTTGATTGTGGGGTTCTTGTTTTGTAAAAGTAGTCACTCCTTTTTCATTCTTTAGGTTTTTATTGGGTTTTACTAACAAGGTTTTTGACGAAGTCTATCATAAAAACCGGTTTTCAAAAACATGTTTGACTATTTTCAAAGAAAGATTTAAATTCAATTTAACATCCCATGAATTATGCATCTTCTCCCATTTTGTTCCTACAAACTTCAAACAATTATGAAATACACGCTAAATTGGTCAAACTTCAAACCATTGCTCATACAACATTATTACCAAACTGTTGTAAATTAATTGTATGTGGATGCCACCTTTTGGCATTTTATAACCTATACATGACCTTTCATTTAGACCTTATTATACATCTATTATTCCACTCATATTTATGTGTATTATCTTTCTATAATTCTCTCATTTATAGTGTGTAACCTATGTAATTTATGTTTTTCTTATCTTAGCTCTACTTATGATTCGTGACCTATAAATAGAAATTTTGCTAGCTTGTATGATTACTCCTCACAAGTGAATAAAAGATTAGAAAGTTGTCTTGGTTTTCCTATTCTCTCATGTTGTTTTTGTTATTCTCTTTAGTTTTTTGCAATATTTTGATTTTTACATTTGTTTTATAACACGTTATTAGCATGAGTTCTAAGTGTTGTTTCTTATTGAGTATTTGTTGAAGGTTTTCTTTTACAAGAATCGAAGACCATCTTGTAGATGGTCAGATTCTTCATTACTATCAACCTATCAATCTAATACGATATCGGTATCGTAAAAGGCATGATGGTCAAAGAATGCATGATATCTATGGTTTTTTTATTATTATAGTTCTTTAGATCTTATTTGTTTATTATGTTTCCTTTTATCTATATATGCATGTTCCATTATTTTAAATGATTTATTCTTTCAAATTTTATTTGGTGGGGCTAATATAAATTATTGCACTCAGCTTACTATTTCATTTCTTCTAGTTTTGTGCTATTTGATCAAGGAAACATATTAATACATATGTCTATGAATTTTGAGGTTTGGATTTACCATATACCCCATGACTTTTGGTTTCTTATTTATAAGAGGTCATTTTACAGTTTTTATTGGTAACGACCTTTGTAAATAATTTTCAATATATGTTTATTATCATGTGGCAATAATTCATTTTTGTTCAGCATTTCGTATGAGCCTTTCTATGATAGTGGTTTCTATGTAATCCCATGTTTATATCCGGTGCATTTCAAGTTTTTTTATTTTTTTTTAAGCTTCATATGTGAATATTTACCATTACTTTTAGTTAAGTGGCTACTAGCATTTCCCGAAGTGAATGTGTTTTATATCACGATCATAAATATGGTTATAGTAAGATCTTGAGAAATATTGTGGCTTGGAAGTGACTATTTATTAATATAGATTTGGCCAAATTTTAATTGGCATGGATGTATCATTTTGGCGTCTACTTTTGAGCCAAAAATAAAAAAGCCAATAGTTTTGCTTAATGAATAATTTGGCTTTACACATTCTATGAAATGAATGTTACATTATATAATAATTATGAGTGCAATCATAATGAAATCATGAAGATAATGAAAGACATGATTTTTATTAATAACCACACAACATGAAAAGACCATTAAATTTTGTCTAATTATTTTGCTTATTCACTTGAAATGTATATTTCATATTTGATTGTCGTGGATAGTGTTGGAACTTTAGACGGGTCACCCGCGACCGCCCGAAAATATTGAGTTTTTGCCCGAGCCCGAGCCTGACCCGCCCAAAAAATTCGGGCTGCCCGCCCGAGCCCGAAAAATCCCTTGAACAGGCCTCGGGCTTATATTTGGCTGCCCAAACCCGGCCGGGCAGCCCGAGCCCACCCGAATAGCCCGAATTTTTTTTCATAATTTTTAATTTTTATAATTATTAAGTTAGTTTGTGTTAAAATTATATAAAAAATCAAAATTAACATTCAACAGACATTATTAACACAATTGAATAAATTAATCATGTATATTAATGATGTATATTAAATTCGTAATTCATGATGGTCTCGTTAATCCAATTGAGATAAAAACTTGGCAAGGAAAAAAGAGTGCAATCATTTTGTGACGAATTACAAATTTTACAAACTTACAAAGTTATACAATTACAAATACAATGTCAAAAGTAAATACATATTTACAAATTATAAATTTAGAATTTAATTTGAAGCTGAAGGATCGTCTTCAAAATTAAATATTAATCGATTAAATTCATCGATCCATTCTTGGTTTGCTGGCAAAATTGTATCCTGTAGACGTTGATCGGCCCGATCCCAATCCTTAATGCAACCCAAGGCTTCAACAATATCCCTTTGCAATGCATTCCAGCATTCCTCAAGTATTCTTCCTGTCGTACTGAAGGCTTGTTCGGATGAAATAGTGGAGACTGGGATCGACAATATATCCATTGCCAATCGAGTTAGGATTGGCCAAGTTAATGCCCGTGTCCTCCACCATTGAACTTAGTCAAACGACTCTGCCGTACCGTCAACTACTAAGGCTTCACTGAGGTACGCCATAAGCTTGTTGAAGCTGCTGCCGCCGCTGCCACTGCTACTTGTTGACGAAGATTCACTCCCAGCTTCTGTTTGAGTTGCCTTCTTCTTCTTCTTCAACCCGGAAACATTCAAGAATGAATGCGGGTTTTTTATCTTGTTGTTACGGTTCCTGTACTCTAGGAGGTACTCTAAACCTAATCTCATATTTACTATAGATCGAATATATTTTTTCCTTTATTATTGGATATTGGTCCGAACAATTGATGCCTAAAAATTCTCCTGAGTTTTCTAAACTACTTTCTAAACCTTCTAATTTCAATCTAGGATAAAAAATAGTACCTGAACCATACAACAAATGCAACTTAGACCAATATTTTATAAATTTCTTTTCCATAGAATGGATAGGAACTGCTAAGATTGGGTCCTCCCTATATTCGCTAAATAAAATACTAATTCGTAAAAGTTCTCCTAAAGCTAAAGGTGATGTTAGGTAATATGTTCCACTAAGTTTTAGAGTCACTTCATGAAACCTACCTAAAAATTGATACAAAACTTCGGCAATTTGCCAATCATATGCGTCTATATGTCCTACTCCTACTTTTGCACGCATATAGTTTGTTATAGCATCCTTATAGGGGATGCATTGTTGAAGCATTATGTAAGTTGAGTTCCATCTTATAGGCATATCTAACGCTAATGCTCTAGGAGATATATTTAATGCTTGTAAGAACCTAAACTAATCTTCTTGTCTTTGGTTACTACCTTGAATCCATACAAGACTATCTCTAATTCTTTTAATGTTATTACCCATTTCTTTTAACCTAGATTTAACAATTAAATTAATTACGTGACATGCACAATGTTGGTGGAAAATTGTACCTTCATCGAATAAACTTAAATCATTTTCAAAGAACTCAATTGCTTTTGTATTGGCACTAGCATTATCTAATGTTATAGCCATTACTTTATCACTTAATCTAAATTCATCAATTACATTTAAAATGGTATTATATATTAAATCCGCGCTATGTGATCCTAGAACACTTTTAAAACCTAATATTCTCTTATCTAAATCAAATCCTTTAAAGTAATGTCCAGTTTTAACTAAATAATCTTTATTGGCAACGTTAAACCAAATATCTATCATTAACGCAACACACCCGCTAGTCGAGTGTAAAAAGTTTATTAATGCTTCTTTTTCTTTTTTAAATAATTTTAATAAATCTTTCCTAAGAGTAGTTTCTGAAGTGAACTGTGCATTAGGATTATGTACAACCTTAATATATCGTTGCCAATTAGGATGCTCTATAAAACTAAGTGGTTGATCTAAAGCAGCTATCATTCGTGCAAGTTCCATACGATCTACTTGCATATCGTATTTCCAAGTGGTTAGACCACTGGTTGCGCGGTCAAAAGATAATTGTGTTTGGCGGAGTTTGGATCCACCGGATTGGCTAAGCTTTTGAAGACACTTTTCGGAGTGTCTTCTCAAGTGTGTGGTGCCGTGAATAGTGTCACCTTGTAATTTAGATAAACAATATTTACACTGAGCTATATGTTTAGCATTACCTTTATTGTCGATCTCCTCAATTATGTCGAAGTGATCCCAAACTGTCGTGGTACGCTTGCATTTCCTCCTAGAGGTTGCAACACTTGCAGATGCAGTCGCACTGGCACTCGCTGCTTCTCCACGCCCACCACCATTGCGACCACGACTTTCAATACATCCACTAGGGCTCGAATTAGTAGATTCATGCGTAACAAATTCATTAGTGGGAAATTGCCCTTCTTCCACGTTGTGTTGGGCATCAACGGGAATACCACTATAACCAAAAGGATCCATTACAAAAAAATAAGAGCAATTTGAGAAAGAGAGCTTTAGGATAATGTGATAGTTTTTAGAAAAATTGTGATAAAGATTGAGAGAAATTAAGAGAGATTGAGAGAAATTCAGAGGGATTGAGAGTGTTTGAGTGAGAAAATGTGTGGGGGATGGGGGGTATTTATAGGGAAATTTTTGGGTTAAAAAATTAAATTTTTTTTCAAAAAAATCTGGGTGCAACGGCTATTTAGGGTTAAGGCGGGTCGAGTTCGGGCGGCAACGGTAAAAAAACTAGCTGTTGGATGGGTTTTCAGGCATTCGGGCAGTTCAGACATGTCGGGTATTCAGGCAAATTTTGAGTTTTCGGGCCGGGCACCAACGGTCGAAATTTTGACCGTTTTTCAGGCAATTCGGGCAGTCGGGCGGTTCGGGCATTCGGGCAAATCGGGCTTGGCCGGAAAAATTTTAAAAAAACTCCGGCAGACGGCGGTTGACGGCGCCTACACGGCGGCGGGCTCCGGCGTGGTGAAAAAATTCGGGTTGTCCAAGCCCGACCCCGAATTTACAACTTTGGACGGACTGGCATATGGGCATGCCCACCGAGCCCGAAAAATTCGGGCCTGCCCGCCGGCCCAAAGTTCCAGTCGTGGGACTTTTTTTGTAATTTTTCGATGTCCCTATTATTAAAGGTGGTCATAAAGTACCACCGGAAGTAGGAGTGAACAAATTATAAGAGAAATTGTAAAGGTTACAAACTCTCATGAATTATAAAAATTAGTCTATTAATGTGCTATAAAAAGGCTTTCGTGCGTGTTTGTTGTACGCCCAACTATCTGGATGATTTTTGTTAAGCCCAAAGAAAAAGAGAGGATAAAGTTCTATTTATCTGGATGATTTTGCAACACAATGGTGTTATTATACTATTTGTAGTATCCTTTAATTTTAAAAGGTCACATATATCACTACTGGAAGTGTGGAATGAGGTTTGCAGTATAAGGCTCCCATGAATGACCAAAATTGGTTATTGAAAAAGGTTTGGGTATGTATCCATTATATGGGTCTCGTATAACCTAAATAAATGGAGAAATTGTACGATTATTTGATCATAAGAATTTTATCTTGGCATACGAAAGGCTATAAATTTATGGTGATGCAGTTATCTTATAAACATACATGTGACATTTACAAGGGCTAAATCGAAAAAGGGGAACTGAAAGAGTAGAGTTATATATTATCTCTTCTTTATTTTATTCAAAGTTATTTTTTTCTAAAATTATTTTTGACATGGTGGAGTTATTATGGTACCCTCCAATTTAAAAAGCTCACATGATATATCATCACTAAAAGTGGAAAAAATGATAAAGAAATTGAAAGGCTCTTGAGTTAATATCCAATATACCCAAGAGATACAATTTGACTTTGTCAATGTAAAATAAGGGGGAAAAGAAGAGAACGAAGAGATTATATGGCCTAGTCCATTGATGGGCAATTGGTTATGATATTTGGGATTTTCAATATGTTTGAGAAAATAAATTACTTAGTCATTGATGAAAATTCTCATGTTATTATTTTCTGAAAGATGATAAAATAGTTAACAGTAGAGATAAATGAGAAATGTCTCTATATTATTTCAATTTTATGTAAGAAGAGACGTGCATAACGATAAATGTTGTTGGTTACATTCAGCCTCATGTGAAAATAATATATTGAAAATTATTTACACTCTCTCTTCTAAATTATAGTAAGACACTTATATGAATAAGTATGATGGGCTGGAAGTTCGCTGTACCAACAGGTACAATGAGTACGATTTTGAATATTGATTATTTTGAAAAATCCCTACAAGATATTGCTTGTGAAAAAAAATTCCTCCTACCATCAGGGGGGAAGGGAAGTTGCAGTTGGATATTATTGATCCTTGCACAATTTGATTGATTAAGCATTGCAATGCATTATAGAATTATTAATATTGAAAAGAAAGTGACTGAATCTCTTCTCCGACTGTTGATGTTATGCATTTGATTAAGGTCTCTAAATGATAATCATTTTTGTCTAAGATTCTGAAGCATTGAAGATTTAATTAGTATAAAATACCATGTTATTGGAAGAGAAAGAAATTATTAAATATATTGATGCTATAAAGAGACCATATTTCTAAAGAAGTTGTACTCATAAAATTTCATTAACATAACAATTTGACACTCTTGTTTATATATCAAACTTTTGAGAAAAATTGAATTCCTGAGGTAGTTCAGTAGGTATACCTGAAATTTTAGAAAGTGTGAAAAAAATAGAAAGATTTTAAAAATTTATGTCAATATACGTGTAAAATTGAATTGCAATAAAAGTTATTGTCGACAATTACAAATGCAAAAATTCTTGATATTTTGAAGAGAAAGGAAGGATCTAGAAGAAGTATGAAATTTGTCAAGAAATCGACATTGATGAAATTGGCCAATAAGTAAAAGACACAAATCCAGTCATGAGTTACTCACAAAATCGAAGTATTAATATGGACTACTAGTCCAAATGTTTTGAATATATAAAGCATGTAGGATACGAACGAATACTCATATGAAATGGTACATACATGAGAAAGTATAGAGTAGTAAATAATAATTATGAGACATTGATAAGTTTCTTGCAATAAACTTATGAAATATACGAGTGAATAAACTCATGGATGATGGATAAACAATGATATTTTGAAAGCATAGTAGCTTGTAAATGAGTTGATATGCGTCTGAAAATTATGTTGCAACATATTTATAAAAGTCTTAAAGAGGACTTAAAGTGGGTCTGAAAAATATAACTGAAATTGTGTATTTTATTATAAATGTCACAAAGATCTTTTTGTGAATAGATGCAATCCAAATGTAAATGGTACCATATCGCTTTCACAATAAAGAAAGGAAGTGCTAGCATATTAATTCTTCAATTGCTCTATATTAGGCTCAAACATGTTGGATTTGCTATTATTTAAAGATTCTTTTGAAAAGAATATAGAGTTTTCCTGTTATTTATGAATTCTCCTAAAAAGATTATAAGAAAAGTTTGAGAATACAAATCTCATGGAAAAAAATTTTGTTCAGACCTGAGAATTGAGATTTGCTAAATAGAATGCTTATCCATAATTTCTCTTATGTGAAATGAAAGTCTTGAAGAACTCTTTTGGATATTATATATGTATATTTTATTTATCTGTTGGTTGATTGATGGCTCGATATTAGAAAGAAGTAATTCTATATTTAGAGGAGATACCAAAGTAACTTTATGTACGGAAGTTTTATTTAGTATTGGTATATTATCTCATTTGGTATCTCAAAGTATGTGATATAATTTGAATAAAATAGATTGAAAAGTGGCTATAAAGTGCAAAATATTTCATTATTTGTAGTTGAGTTTTTATAGAAATAATTACTGCACAATGGTTTGTATTAATCAGGGAATAAATATGGATAAATGTCTGTTTGATATACCCACCAAAGATAGGCAATTCATCTATCATAGAAGCTCTAGAAGAGAAATAATGTAAATATAAGCAAAGTGCTAAAGATACAAAGGTTAGATAGTTGACTGCAATGTTGCTTGAGTTACAAATAATAATATGAGTTGACTCATATATTTAACTGTAAGATTACTGGCTATTGGGACGACCATAGATATTTATATGAGGAGGTGATAAATACGCATTATACTCTTTTTTTTCTTAGCCACAGTTTTGTCCTCCTGGATTTTCCTGACGAGGTTATTATGAGTCAGTTTAGTAGCGTATTATAAGAATGAGAATATTGCACTCTTTTTCCTTTATTAGGATTTTTGTCCCACTAGATTTTTACCTAGTAGTAAGGTTTTAATGAGGCATATTTTTAATTGTTTAACATCTAAGGAAGAGATTT